CAGGACTTGAACTATGTTGGCAGCAATTCCGATGTCTGACATAGATCAAGTCCTGTATTTATCAAGACCTTTTTCACAGCAGCCATATTGACATGAAATAGTAAGGTTAACATGGGTATTATCCGTGATAATTATTAAAGCTCTATTGCCCCTATATTTAAAAAAATGTCAAATATGTCACTTTAAGCAGTTTGATGACTGGGAACAGTTTCCTCAGTTAGACAAACAACCAATCAGAGTTTTACAGGTTCAATTTAGAATGGGGATGACATAAAAACTTCCACATAAAGGAAAGAAAATCATTAATATCTAATATCATATCACCACTAGATGACATAGTTCTTCTTACTATCAGACTTACAAGTTTGGGTTATGGTAAGTTAGAAGTTTCTACTGTAGAAAAGGATCTTGGTTATGTCCACACTCGATGGTGCGGTTGATGTAAGAGTTTGTGATAAATAGACTCATGCATCCATCTTCATAACCACTGAAATAGATGATAGTAAAGTGATGTGAGGCCAAGGTCAGCAGCAGTGTAGCAGGTTTATTTTACAGACAGACTGTTAAAATATTCATCCACAAAGGGTTAGATTCCTCTGCAAACTGGGACACACTCTCTTTATATGGTGTTATAACCAGGACACACAAATTAGTGATCGACCTGCAGGAGGTTGATTAATGACAGTCTCACCCAAGGGACTTGACTGCACTGTTTTATGGTTCTATTACTTACTATTTAAAGCCCCTGCAAGGAACTTTCATTTTGTGTTGATTCTGGCGGCCCCTGCAGACAAAGGTGGTGGTGTTTCCACTGCCTTGTTTCATTGATGTCCAGGGGAATCCGACCCGGTGGCAGGCCTTCAGAATAACTACATAGAAATAGCCAATCTTGTTTGTTTATGTGGGTCGTATAGACCATAGTTCCATAACCAATTAAAAACTCCTTGTAGTACGTTTTAAGGCAGAAAAATAGTTTATACCATAGCTACCTTCTACATACTGATGAAATAAAATACTGTGTACTAATATCAAGGGTGCATTTTCTTTGTTAAAGCTGCAGTAGGTAACTTTTATAAAAATAACTTTCTGTCATATTTGCTTAAACTTGATCCTGACTGTACATGAGACAGATAATAATTAATTCCTCTGACTCATTGTACTGTATTTGCAAGAATCCACGGGGCCTAAACAAAAACAACCAATCAAACCAAGAAGGATAGCTGATTGTTGAGTCTCATTCCCCGATTGTCAAATACACACGCTTTAGGACCTTGAGAATAAGACTCAACAATCAACTATCTTCAAACCTCCAACTCAAAGCATATTTATATCTTTCTCAGCTCGAAAGACCTACTGAGATACATCTCAAAACGTTGTACACAACAGCATTTTTTGTATCAAACTGTGTAAACTTTTGTATGTTTTCATTCACACATCAATGTCGTTTTTGGGGTGTTGAAAACCCAAACTTGTTAAACGGGTACCACAGTGCAATTTTTTGGAAACACCACCCTTATCATCGCCATGTGAACTGCAAATAAGTGCCTCCAAAATATGTCTGTCCAGACAAAACGATCTGTTTTTGAGTGTGCATTGGCCATCTTCTCCTCCTGTTTATACTCACCACACTGTAGACGAAAGCATTTGTATGCAGGCATGTGGTGTTCTTTTGTGGTACTGACTTTCAAAATTATACCGCCGCCTACCGGCCTAACATGCATACTATAATGTAGGGACTGGACGATATTGCGATAAAGAACACTTGATAAATGTATAAAGGTGAATTTCCCATATTGTGATAATCGGGATAATCAGGAATATCTTCGCAGGGTTTCACTTGAAAAAGCTATCTTGCTAGTATAGATTCCTACACCGGTCAGCCATAACATTGTGAGCACTGACAGGTAAAATGAATAACACACATTTCCCACGCCTACTACAGCGTTGTTGTGGATCTGTGTGCACGAGGACCGTTTTCACAATGTGCTTGTATGAATGCTGAACTTTTTTAAAGCAAAGAAAAAACTTCAGGAAATATATTGGTACGTCAAAATCATGAGATGTTTATTTTGTTGACTGTATTTATTATAAGGTCAAACTTCTGAGACTGTATTGGAAAAAAAGCTTTAGAAGTAGAAGATGCCAGTCAAAAGTTTTACTAACTATTTTTAGGTCAAATGTTTTACTTACTAAATCCAAGTTGTGACTTTTAAGCGGTCAAAATTATGGGATAAGTTGTTTTAATTATGCGATACTGACTCAATCGTTTGGTCAACAATATTTTTAAATATAAATTCATATTTCCACTTTCAATCTCATAATTTTAATTTATTATGCGTTTTTATTGATTATTGATTTTTATCATACTTTTTTTTGCTTTACTGGCATTAATGGTATTCCATACTGCAGTGCCATTCTGCAGACAGACTGCTGACCAAATCTGAGAACTTGAAAAAAAAATTAAACTTTAACAAAGAAAAAAGACTGTAATCAAACTATTTTGTAAACGTCCTGTGGCGTTGACACTGTGGATGTAACGGAGAAAACAAGAGTGTAACCCCACACACTGCCATCAGTGTGCTCATACTTTATTGAACAGCACTTCAACCCAGGTGATGTATTGGAAAAGTCTCTTAATGTAATTGGGAAGTGTCTAGTTGGGACAAGAACTTGTTGAAATCTCAAAATGGTGTCCATTTTCTTTCATTTCTGTCCATCCAGAAGCTGCTGACATGAAGATTTAGATTTGATAATAATACAAGTATGTATTTGTATTAATGATACAGAAGCAGCTCAATATCTATTCATTCAGTGCTTTCATACATAAAGTTGGTGGACTGAATTCAAGAGTTACTCAGTATAGGCTATATTTGCAGAAAGGTTGCATTATTTTTATTTCAATCACAAAGCTAACATGTAAAAATTATTCCTCCCAGTGTGCAGTGTGTTAACTAAGGTTTGTGAAATCGTTGGGCCCTAGAGCCCGAACGGCTTAATCTAGGGTAATGAAAACATGATTCCTATATTCAGGTGATTATACACTAATGAAAACATTAGTAACAAAATTAATAATATATTTCATTTCTGACAATAGATCCTTTTATGGTGGTTATTCTAAATAAATACTAAATGACCTCTATTCATTAACACTGGCTAACCTGATGTTAAAGGGATCACATTATAAAGACGTCGCCCCTTTTTAAAAACAAAACAAAAAAAAAAAAAAAAAATTAAAATTTTTTATTTTGGGATGTTTTTTCGAAGTTGAAAAGAATTTTTTTTTTTATCAGTTAGATTTGGTTAGTCAGAGCCATGAAAATCAAATCATCCATGTTTGTTTTATATCTCAGCTTTCTTCATCAGGTGTTTAAAAACTAGGTTATGAACTTCTTTTAAAAAAAAAAAAAAAAAAAAAAATAATTAAAATAAAAAAAAAAAAAAAAAAATTTATCAGTTATGGTATCGGCTGAAGAAAAATCCATATGCTGCATCCCTAGTTGTGAACACTGCAAAAAGATGGATTCCACAAATGATAGGAGTCAAAACACCAGCTGCATTTGAACTAAACTGTTTGAAATGGAAGCTGTATGCACCGGCACTCAGTGGGTTAAACTTGTGAGAACATTGTTGCTATAGGCATCTGACAACAAAGTGGATTGGTCCACTTTTAAGAAATGTTCATGATTTGTACCTTACTTCATTTTAAAAATACTGCACTTATACTGCATACTGTTCTTTAGCACACTCAGGATCCAGTTATCAGCACTATAGTACTCATCATTTACACTTCTCTTCTCTACTGTACATATTTTCTATATATCGTTATGTACTGTAGTTTAATGTACATATTTTTACACACTCTTATTTCATATTCTCTGCATATATTGTTGTTATATATTGTTTCATTTTGTTATAATATATTTCTTATAATGTCTTGTTTAGCTATTTGAGCAACTGTAACTTAACCAATTTCCCCTGGGGGATCAATAAAGTATTTCTGATTCAGATTTTTTAACCTGTTTTTTTTTTTTATCCAAGAAACTTCAAACACACTGTTGCAAATGTTTAGACCTGAGGGTCAGGCTGCAACATCAAGCTTTTAACAGTTAGCCACAGCACTTCTGAATTCATCTTGAGGCATATTGCAACACAGCCAGTAATGAACATATGGAAGAAAAAACATACACAGGTGCCTTCCTCTTAATCACCCATCATACATTATTAACAAAGAGGATAAGTTGGATGGAAATGAGGTGATTTAATTATTATTATTATTATTATTATTAATATTGTTTGTGCTATTTTTGTCCCGACAAAGTAAATAAAACTAGATAGTAAAAGATAGTAAGTAAAAGTCCTGCAGCAAAATGTTAACGAAGTAAAACTACACTTAAGTATTATTAGAAACACGTTTTAATTATCAATAGTAAAACTATTTAGGTCAAAATGGCTATTTTCAGGTTGTTATATCTATTGAATTGGTATTTTTCTGGTTCTTCTGTAAGTTGCAGTATGGCTGAAGTTTTAAAGAAATACTCAATTTGAAGTAAAAGTAGCCTTCTGGATTCAAAAGGACAGATGGCTTTTAACAACAAAATGGATTTGAAGCAGAGCTTTGATCGGCCCAGAAATTCAGGTCCGACCCGTGTAAATTATTAAGAAATTCACTCATTTAATTACAGTTGCATGCATTACTAATAATACGTATGTATATATAGCAAAAGAATAACAAAATTCCATATATATGTATATATGGAATTCAGTCCGAGCCCGACCCAATCCTGACCTATGGCAGTTGTTGTGGGCCCAAACCTCACGGGTCGTGTCAGGTCCAATCGGGTTCGGGCAGAAAATCAAAGTCTAATATGAAGTAGGTCTATCTAGCTCTTTTTAATAAAGAGTTTAAGTTCATTCAAAACCAATGTACCACTCCATCCCTGCATGACAATAAAGCAGGTGTGAACGGGATAAGCTAATAGTGTGTGCACCTCCCGCCTCACCTCCTCTGCCTCTCCCCGGTGTAAACCACGAGCTGCCAGTCCGGTTCTCAGTTCGTTGATGTCAACCCTGCCATCTTTATTCAGGTCCAGCTGCTTGAACAGCTCCGCATACCTCCTCTCTCGGTCCGGGTCCAGAGACGCTCCGCTGTCTCCGCTCTCTTCGCTTCCTCCGCGGCGAGTCTGGGCGCAGAACTGCTCCTCGTCTTCGCCCATGTGAAAGAGAGAACGCCGGGTTTCTGTACCGGTCGACCGGCGAGCATAACACTGCAGAAACCGCAACGAGTGCTCGGTTTGTCCGCGTTTCCAGAGAGACCGGACGGCTACCTTCAAAATGTACCGAGAACGGAGGCGGCTGAACGGAGGAGAGCAGAGCGTGACTGCGCTGTTCGTCCGCTCCTTCTGCCGAGGAACTTCTCTCCGGACGGACGGACGGACGGATGGAGATGGCTTAGACGAGTTCTCGTGCGATTAATACCCGTGTCACTTACATCCTCCGTCACACCGGCACGCGCAAATCCATGAACTCATTCACATGAATTAAAGTTTCCGTCGCAGGAGGAGCTCGCGACTGAGCGGTCGGTTTTTACCGCAGTCTCTGACACATCTGTGCGCGCGCGAAGAGCCCAATATTTTTTTCCAACCAGGCTGGATTATTGTTTGTATTATTGTTTGTATTATTGTTTGTATTTTACAGCCAGCGCGGTGTAATATCCCACAGCAGCACGGGGAGAGAGGCTAAAACGCGCTTAGCTCCGCACATTTAATCCACCCACTCTCTCTCTCTGACGCCGCGCGGCACTGCTGCATCACATCACGTAGGGCAACTTCAGCGCGCGCGCTCGCAGCAGCTCGCAGGCGACGCTCGAGCGCAGGGACGTTAAGAGAGAGAGGGTAGTGCGGTACACTGTTTACTACACGTTATTGGTTTGGTGATTCAGTTTCAGTAGTTGTTTTTTACATCTTCAATAATCATTTAAATGATCTTTCAGGGGGCGTTTCCGTGGGTGGGGGGCGGTCAGATAGGCTACCCCTCCATTATCCTAACATCTTCCACCCCACTAGGCAGTAGTAGACTCCGTTTTATCATGCTAACGTGTCTCCTCGCAACCATTGCTCGCTCCTTCCTCTATGAGAGAGAGATATGGAGAGCGCCTTCAAAGCACGACTTTTAAACACGTGAAAGCCCATCAAACAGAAACTAACTCATTCACTTCAATTTGGGTTTCAGTATCTTGCTCAAGGATACTTCGACATGTGGCGGGAGGAGCCGGGGATCGAACCAACAGCCTTTCGATTAGTGGACGACCTCTTCCTCTGAGCCACAGCCGCCCAACATACCATATACCATATATTCTCTATAACGACATATATAGGTCATATAAAACTTTAATAATAATTTATAATATGATAATACTATAATAATGTGTAACAACCTGGAAATAGCCATTTTGCATATGGATATTTTTATTATAATACAATTCTTATATTATAATAAGGCTATTCGAATTAATTAAAACGTGGGTTGGACTATGCTTATATGTACTTTTACTTTGGTAACATTTTGCATGCAGGACAAACAGTACTAATAATAATAATAATAATAATAATAATAATAATAATAATACAAATCTGAATACTTCATCCACCACTGTGTTATTTGGCAGTGCTGTAGATCACTGTGTGACAACCACTGATAGCTTATTGGGTATTAATAGCATTAATAATGGGGATTGTGAGCTGTGACGCGCAGCAGAGGATAGTGAAATGCATGGTCAGCATTCACAGGATAGGACTGAGAGACAGAGAGAGAGAGAGAGAGATTAAAATGGTCTCACACAGACCTTTATTGATGTCACATTGACTTTAGCCAAATATTTGTATTAACATTTTAAAAATGCAGCTGACACATTGATCCAGAGACAACATACAGTGGACCCTAAAGGTCAGAGCTGCTGTTCCCTCACAATATTTCCAAATTCCAATGTTAGGGATTTCTTGGTCCAGCCTCTCATTTCTCATCCAGAGAAAAACATATCTGGATGTGGTGTCTGACTGTTTCCAAACCATTTCTGTGATGCTGTAAGAATGGCTATATATGTAAATGATTGAACTCTGGTACGTTTTCATGCACTCTAGTCATTGATATGCCTTTCATTCATGTAAGAAAATGTGACGTGAAATCCTCCGTAGCCTCCGCATTTGTAAGAGCGCTCAATCACAAACAGTTTGTTGCTTTCCGCGTGATGGGTATTATCGTAAAATGTTCCCTGTGTGTTTCCTATTATATCTGATGTTTTTGGATTTGGACCGTTGCATCTATAACATCTTTTGCCTACCTACCCTTTCCTTGCCATTCTGCCAAATCAGTGCATTTTCCATCCCAAACACATTACATGCATAAATATGCCTTAAAATATTTATATAATACCTTATATTATCAATCAACGTGTCTGAACTTTGTTCTAACTGCAGTTTGAAGCTATTATGAAATAAAAACTACATAGAACACTGAAAATAAATAAATAAATACACTTCACCAAGAAATACAATGATTACAACCCTTCACACTTTTTTTTTTTTTGCATTATTGTGTGACTCTATTTCCAAATTAGACTTAAAGTACACATTTTATTTGTCTCTCTAGGTTTTCACTTAGTCCTCTTACCCTGACACATTCCCCCCTCTCTAAAAGAAAATTTGGGACATTTCTCCAGTCACATGACCAACAAGAAGTAACATCAGAGTCTTCTGAAGGCAAAGAAGAAAATGAATGACCAGAGATGAACAATAACAAAGTTTGAATAGTTAAAAAACGTGTGTGTTATTAGATACAGTGCTGAAAAAAGATATATATTAGATCTTATTTGATCAGTGTCTATTATTTACTGTCACCACTGCCTACAATCAAGATTCTTAGTGTAAATTATAATATGCAGAATTGTTGTAAATAAAGTTGTAAGAATTAAACAAAATGAGGAGGGAAACAAAAGAAGACGTTTTGCAGAAGAATACATAAGAAACACTTCCTAAGTAATCAGGACATTTACATAGATGGTTCTAAAGGTAAGCATGGCAAAGTAGAATGAATGAATCCATGAAATTAATAAGAGAAGACTTAGCATTAGAAATTCATCGGAGCCGTTGGGTACCTGCTCATATTGGCATTAAAAGGGAATGAAGGAACAAAATTGCCAACAGTACAACAAATAAAGAAAATATTAGATTGCATGGATATCCCTTTTGGTAAAGGGGAAGGAAAAGCAATAATTAAAAAAGGAAGGATGGGACAGGGATGATATTACAAAGTACAGTAATCAATAAATGCACAGTTTGTTAGGAGGAAAAATAGGAGTGAGGGAGTCATTTGAACTAGATTAAGGTTTGATCACACAGGTCTTAACAACAATCTATTCATAGAGGGGAAAATAGGTCAGAAGAATGCTCCCATTGCAAAACAATAGCAAATGTAGAACACGCACTTATAAATTGCAATAAATATAAGAAAGAAAGGGTGCAAAGGATCAGGAGGTAGAGAATGGAACATGAAGGGAATACTGGAGAAAACTGGAGAAGGGGTAAAAGATGCGCAGAAAGGTATAATAGAATTTTTGAATGATACAAGGTTATATGACAGCTATCTAGCTAAGTCAGGGTAGTTTAGGTGTGAAGGTTGTAATTTAATTTAATTTAATTTAATTCACTTCAATATACTTGGTATTACAGTTTTTCTCCATTGGTTTGGCTCATTTCTCAAAACAGAAATTACATTCTCAAAACTCTAAGATCATATGGCAAAACAGTCTTACAGTTCAGCACAACACCATAGCTCACTTGCAAAAGCTCATATCTCTCCCAAAACTGTTCACTCGTGTGTCAAAACTAAATCTCTTTCCCATATAAATAGTCAGTACCTCCAAAATGCATCGTCCCTTTGGCATTGTGTGAGCACTGCAAGTCAAAATGTTTAGATGTTTTGTCACTATGGCAGAGGTCCACCTCTCAGTCCTCTCCCAGTCCTTCATTCACAATGGTTACTGGACTAGTTTTTTTGTCTAGCTAACAGAATACAATTGTGTATAAAACTGAAAAAATAAAAATGAATAAAACAGGATTTTAGGGGAAGAGTAGCCTCTAAGGTTTGACATCACATATTGCACTCACACTGCCGAGGAAAGGTAGCCATTTTTATTCACACACATAAAGTAACCTCCATATCAGAGTAAAAAGAAAATGTATAAAGCATAATATACTGTTATATAAACACATAAACAAAAACAAGGAAAATGATATGTAGCCTACAGTGCTGTAAATAAATACACTATCTGGTATTCATGGTATTATGTTGACTCATTCTGACCATTGAACAGAATATTGTGCATGTGATGACTTATAGAATGAAATGATGCTGACATGTTTTGGAGAGAACAACCATTAGACTGAGAATCAATCTATCAGTTTACATCAACAGCATCTATTCACTTGGAAATTGTGCTGAATGTAGGCTAACTGTGCTAACTGTAGGCTAACTGTAGGCTAACTGTAGGCTAACTGTGCTAACTGTAGGCTAACTGTACTTAATCATTTACAAAGATGTACAAAGACATTTGCAATGTGATGAATTCAATGAGAAATACAATTCTGTTGTGAACAATTGCCAAGTGGTTTGGAGGTTCGTCCATGTTGTTTTGAGAATGTAATTTCTGTTTCAAGAAATGAGCCAAACCAAAGGAGGACAACTGTAACGTAAAATCCATGTCTGCGTCCTCCTGTACAGTAGGCGGCGGTATGCTCACTCAAAGTAAACAATTGCAAAGAAGAAGAAGAAGAAGAAGACGCTTGGCTGCTGCTGCACGCCGCACATAAACATCTTTATGATATATTGCCCCCCCCCTCTAAGAACAACGGCACCGAAGTCAGACAAACACAAGATGCCTTTGCCTGTGCAGGTGTTTAACTTCCAGGTAAGTGTTAGCCATTGCAGCGCTTGGACGGGATGCAGCTTCAGTACCCGCGGCGTAACCTTAGCTAGCAGTTAGCCAGCTAGGTTAGCTACAGAAACTTAGCTATGGTTCAGCTCATGATCCCAATTCAACCCAACGCGAGCACCGTTAGCTCCTTGTGTTTTATCAGGAGCACGAAGCATTAACGAAGCAATACGTTGGTGGTTTAAAAGTTAGAAGAATTAACGTTAAGTCTTAAAATTGCTGGCATGTTAAAAAACGTTAAAACGTTAAAATGTTAACGTTACCGGCCTCGACGTTGCAGTGCATCTCCGTGAAGTAAAGGGATAGCTAATGAATTCCATATAACGTTACATAAATACTGCTTTGGTAGTGTATTAAAGTTACGCCGTTAAGGAATGGTCCTCAAAATCTTACAAATGCATGCACACAGCCGGTGAACCGTTAGAAACCGACGTTGTTTTCATGGAGTTTGGAAGTAGCTAAATGCTAACAACAGACTGAAGGCCTCTGTTTGCTAACAACATTAACGTTTATAGAGACGGTTCACTGGCAAACCAGAGCTGACGGCAGCAGCTCGCTCTTACTGAAGTAACTATATTCATCTTATGTTTGATTCTTCGTGAAAGCGAAAAACTACAGACTGAAGAACAATTTGTGTTTATCTTTGTAACTTGGCTAACGAAAGCTAGCATTACCGAGCCGACTTCCTGTAATTGGCAGTTTGTCACATTAGCTCGACATAGCAGGTGGACAGACAGGTGGACAGACAGGTGGACAGACTAACACACTGTATACATTTTGCAAGAAGTTTCTGTTGTCAGTAACCAACAGTCTGCTAGCTGTTCAAAAGGCTTACAAACCCTGTGCTAGCTAACATAACGTTGGTTGTATCCGTGGCGACGTCATACTGCCGTTAAGAATCAAGCATGGACATTTTTTCCTTTCAAGGCTGTTGAGTAATTGTTGTCCACCGTCCACCATCGCATACATACTGTGTATCAACTGCAGGATATTTCCAATACAGCCAATCCTCACATCGCCATTCACCAATGCATTGGCAACTACCATTAGCAATAGAAACCCTCCTCTTGAAAGCCTGCAGTTAGGTGATGGGCGCTTTTTTAATAACACTATTAAAGCTGCAGTAAGTAAGTAAAAAAAAAAATGGCTGTTTTCGTTCAGGCCCGGTGGATTCTTACAAATGCCCTTAGGAGCTCTAGGAGGAGTCAGATTGTTTCACAGGTTATCTGTCTCATGTTCTACTCACAGGATAAAGGGAAAGTTCCAACAAATATGACTTGAGTTGTTTTCATAAAAGTTACCTTCTGCAGTTTTAATAATATCTTTATACAGCACTTTTCAAAAACAGGTTACACAGTGCTTTACAAAGACATTAAAACAAGATGACTTTACAAATAAAAATAAATAAAGAATAGATACAGCGAGGCAGGAATTACTAAAACACCCTAAAAAACTGTGATTGGAATTTGTTAACCAACATCACTCATAAAAACATAAGAGTGACAGATTTAAGAGAAAGCCATTCATAACAAGTGTGTTTTTAAGAGAGATGGGGGTGTGACTCCAAAGGCTTGGCCTCTTCTGGTTTTTAGCCTTGACCTACTACCAGTCCACTGACGGAGGACTACATTCAGGCTCCTAAGGGGTTAGTAAGTCAGTGATATAATCAGGGGCTGACCGTTTCCAGATTGTTGGTGGATAAAAATGATCTAGTGATGATGGATGATGGAATGACTAACTTCACCTGTTGATCAAAGTTTATTATCAAAGAAACACACTTGATTGCATTGCAATTCACTTTGTTTTCAGTTTTAATCCCCGTGAACATTGCAGCTTTACCATCTAGTGATCCAAACTTCTGTGTGGAGAACAAACTGATACTGTTTAATAGCTCAGTGTATGGACAGCTCCTGGTCCTGAAATGAGGTCTCTTGTGGAGGTTAACAAGTCAGCAACAGGACAAGCAACAGAGGTTCAGCCTGAGGATGTGTGTTGAGGCTGCTGTGCTGCTGGAGCGGGCTGCAGCACACAGTTTGTTGTGCTTGGTACAGTTCACTGTTTGACAACCATAAGACTGAAGGACAACTGACCCTTTCTCAATGCCTACTGAATATATGAAGCATTTTAATTACAGTTTTGCTGTTATTCAGCTTTAATGTGGGTCATGTCTTGCATTGTGATTTCGGCTGACCTTTGTGCCTTGTTTCTGTCTCTCAGGGGTCTGTGGAGCCCATGCAGATTGACGCAGACCCCCAGGAGGACCAGCAGAATGCTCCAGACACCAACTACATAGTGGAGAACCCAACACTGGTATTGTCCTGACAGACTTTCATCTACACACACAGTGACATAAAATGTTACAATAATTATCTCTGTGATGGCAGTGGTGTAAATTTGTGTTTTTAAGAGATTCAGGGGCTACTGCCCCTTAAATGTTGTTGATGTGAATCATCAACTTTGAATGTCAGCATAGTACATGAAAACAACCAAAGCTTTACTTTAATAGATCACATAATCTAAATATTATCAAACACAGGGGAAACCACTCCAATCTAACAGACTGTAGAGTTATATGAAGTCGCCTGAACATTTCACTGTGGAGCAGTTTTGACATTTTGACATAATATCTCTCACCTGACCCTCCCTGTAGGACCTGGAGCAGTATGCCACCAGCTACAGTGGATTAATGCGCATCGAGAGGCTGCAGTTTATCGCTGAGCATTGCCCTCAGCTCCGAGTGGAAGCCCTGAAGATGGCCCTCACCTTTGTCCAGAGGACCTTTAACGTCGACACTTACGAAGAGATCCACCGCAAGCTCACAGAAGCCACACGGTATTACGGTTAATAACATGACATAAGAACACTGCTTTTGGCGAGAGACTACTATAGGATAAAACATTTGTTTGCTGATGTGTCACAATGCAAACTACATCAAATGGTTTGTTGCACCAATAGAAAGGACATTTTGAATTTGAAATAGTTAATTACACTTCAGAAATTAATCATGTTCTGGAAGCTGTAAATAATAAATAAATTCCCCCCTGGGATTGTTTAAGTATTTCTGATTCTGAAGCTGGGGCTTGTATTACACCACTACAACACAATCTAATGCTAAATATATGCTTTTTTATTTACTTCACTCAACATCTAATGTAAATTGTATTATGTGTATTGTTTCTGTAGAGAAGTGCAGGGTGTGCCAGACACAGTACCTGAAGGCGGGGTTGCTCCTCCTCCTCTGGACTCAGCCTGGGCTGAGTCCACCAGGAAAAAGGCTCTGCTTAAACTGGAGAAACTGGATACTGATCTCAAGAACTATAAGGGGAACTCCATTAAAGAGAGCATCAGGTATGGTGGGACACAGCATGGTTTATCATGGAGTTTATTATCACTGTTCATCATCACAAGACCCATCACAGAATTGACCTTTTATGAATTTTGAAGAAGTTTTGAAAGCCATATATACGAAATAAACTGCCACTAGATGTCACTAGCATCTCAGACCAAAACAACTGGACACTATGTCCCACCAGACTCCATTGACAGAACCAGTCATTTTTACTTAGCCAGCAATAGTAGAACACATTTGAAACTGGACAAAAACAAAATAAAACTCACCAACGCTGTCTTTGTTAGTCTTTACCACCTTTTTATCTCCCACTCACCTTCCTCCCGTTCTGCCCTTCCTCCCCAGGAGAGGCCATGATGACTTGGGGGACCATTATCTGGACTGTGGCGACCTCAGTAATGCCCTCAAGTGCTACTCCCGAGCCAGAGACTACTGCACCAGTGCCAAGCACGTCATCAACATGTGTCTGAATGTCATCAAGGTACAGCAATGTTCTGCTGCTGCAGTCACCATTGTTACAACTAGTGGGTGGAGTTATGAACACTGGTTTAATATCAATACACTTGTCTGTACTGTCTGTATGAGTTTTTATGGATCTCATAAGTCAAGAGTATTAAGCACTTGAAGGGATAATTTCCTGGAAATCATTTTTTATCTTGTGAAAATTTGAATTGTATTTTGGCTCCTCACTTACATCCTCGAATGTACCGAAAAATTACTGGATTTTAACAGTTACTTCTGGGCTGTGGCAATAATGTTGTGGTGACAGGAAAACTGTAGTCAATTTGCTGTAGACAAGTCTAGTGTCCTACATAAAGTGCTGACCACCTACCCGTAATTAACCTGAGATGGTTCATCATAAACCTGCATCATTAAACAAGGAGTCAATACTAGGCTTACTGATAAATTATATGACCGTTTTGAAGCAAATGCTTTCCTGTGTTATTAATAAAAACTCATGGAAAATGTTGTGGAAAGGTCCTGGAAAGTGATTTCTTAAAATAAGTGGGAACCCTGTCTGGTTCATGAAGGTATCCTCTTACCTCAACTGTGAACGGCATTACATTGTTGCTGTCATAATCACCAATTTTTAGTTTTTTGTATTTATTTTCTTTCATAAACCACTGTAACTCAGGTTAAAACAGTTGATATGTGCTTTAATGCACTGTGCACGGCACAGTTGGACTTGGCGTAGGAATACAGCAGGTATAGGTCGAGAAAAGAAAAAGAGCTGTGTGACCCAGGAAATCGATGTGAGGTCAGAAAGTAAATCTTATCCTCTGTGCCCACAGGTTAGTGTTTACCTCCAGAACTGGTCCCATGTATTGAGCTACGTCAACAAAGCAGAATCCACGCCAGAGATAGCAGAGGTGAGTGTGCTGTGTTAGCATTAACAATCAGGCTTTTCACAGTGAGGCAGAAAACTATTCATGCAGCCAAGCCTGCCTTTGTTTCTCAAAGCTTGTTGTGGAGATGACCTTCAGCTGACGCCATTTCTTTTTCTTTCTGTTCAGCAAAGAGGAGAGCGTGATAGCCAAAATCAAGCAGTCCTCACCAAATTAAAGTGTGCTGCAGGTAAGACGGAGTTATGCTCTGTGATAAAGAGTCCTGCTCTGTATGCAAAGTAGCCTGAAATAACTTCTGTTATGATTTGAGGCTATATAAATAACATGGAATTTAATTGATGGTACTGTGTCACCCAGTACAGCCCATTTGGAAGATGTAACAATGTTGTCTCCAAGTCTGAATGAATATGAACAGATTTCTGTTACTGTAAAAAGCCAGTAACAGCTGCCAACAGTGTGACACACAATTGTAGAGAGCAGCTATGTATCATTTTAGAAAGATCCAGTGGTTTGTATTCTGCAAGTCTCATCTTGATGGTTGATGTTTCAGGTCTGGCAGAGTTGGCCTCTCGAAAATATAAACCAGCTGCCAAGTGCTTCCTGCAGGCTTCTTTTGACCACTGTGACTGTCCAGAGGTGAGTGATATCAGGCAGAGGTACCATGGTTACTTATAGCTTCATCCACCAAAGGAACCCTTTCTAGTCTATCTAGAAACTGTATTTGTATCCTTTCCTAAGGCAGGCATGTTAGCGTCGGGGAACAAAATCCTGTTTTGTCAAAAATGCATTCCAAAGTTCAGATGAAGCTAATATGAGTCATCATTATTCTCTGTTATCCAGATCAAGTTGGAATCTCCAAAAGTTTTTTTTGTATAAAAATCCCCGTATGTGTTCCTATTTCTCCACTGCAGCACAGCAAGAAAATGTTGTCCACAAACTTTGTACTGAATAGACTGTTACATAAAAAAAACCCATTTGATTTGTGTTTAAGCATTGGGCTGCACAATATGGTAAAAACATCACATTGCGATTATTTTGACAGATATTGCAATTTCAATAGGATTCTGGATTAGTGTAGGAATGATCATTTTTGCTGTTGCTCTCTGGAGAACAAGATTAGTAGACCAGGGCATGTCTGCAGCACTATAGTACTTCATTCTAATGCTGTTTGTCATACATTTTACCTTTATCAAAACATTGCAGCTGTTTCAATTTTTATATTGCTTCTGAAAAGTTATTGCACAGAATGAGGATGGTGAATTTAGTCTCTTATCACTTACATTGGAGCTGCTGTAGTATAGGCAGGAGAAGCTATTATAGTCCATTGTACGTTATGTAAATTATTTATATAAATGTTTTACGATTAGTTTTGAAAATATGAAACCCTAACCCACAGACATATATGCACTCATAGTTAACCTCTCTGAGCTGTTAGCTTAGTAACAAACAGGTAGCACACAGAAACTGTTACAAACTGCCATGAGTGTGCTTCTAGTGACTGTAAAATCTCTAGTGGACTCCCCGTGTTTCCACAGAGTGGGACAGCAGCTGCTCATTAGCTCTGACTACCAGCTCACTGTTCACTGCAGTAAAGTCACTGTCCTTTGCAGATGCATATTTTACATTTGCTGAGAGGGAGGCAGCAAAATGTTAAACAAAAAGTAGAAGCCCTGCTTTGACACCCAGGATAATATTCATTCATAAAGTAATCCAGTGCACTATACTGTTAAAAACCTGCTTAGTAATGTTTGTGGGTGTGTGTTCCCTGCAGCTCCTGTCACCCAGTAATGTAGCTGTGTACGGAGGCCTGTGTGCTTTGGCCACGTTTGACAGACAGGAGCTCCAGCGTAACGTCATCTCCAGCAGGTAGGGTAGTAGCAGTTGGACTGAAAAATATCTCCCTACATTTAATGAATACAGGTGTACATTAATAATCTTTTTCTTTCTTTCAGCTCCTTTAAGTTATTCCTAGAGTTGGAACCTCAGATCCGCGACATCATCTTTAAGTTCTACGAGTCCAAGTACGCGTCCTGTCTCAAGCTCCTGGATGAAATGAAGGTTAGAGAGGGACATGCGCACAATTGCAGTTTGACACTGTACAGAGGTTATGATGGGACTACATGACAGTGCAGTATATTATGTGTATATTATGATCATATTGAGTGTGTGTTTCCTCCAGGATAACCTCCTGTTGGACATGTACCTGGCCCCACACGTCAAGACACTGTACAGCCAGATCAGGAACAGAGCCCTCATTCAGGTGAGACATACATTAAGTCACCCTGTTTTTATGTGCATTTTGTATTTGTTTGGGGAGTGAGTGGGAACCCTGATACAGTACTTCTATCGTTTGAAATAGGGATCACTTTACGGCAGTGGTTCCCAACCTTTTCTCTTAAGGGGACTCTTTTATGACTGACTAAGTGACATATTTAATGGATATTTCATATTATATTATATATAAAAGCTTTACAATTAACCCAAATAATAAAATCAGTAACCGCAAGAAATTTGTGTGAAAGGAATTATCCTGTTTAGGGAACTTTTTATACAATTCAGTCTGTATTATATATAATTTTTAACAATCATACAGACTTAAAAGGTTTCATCCTATGACAAATTAAATGTTTTCTTCTCATTGTTCTGTTAGCTCAGAGAGTGAAGGCTCTGTGAATATAGTGTGTGTTCCATTTAGATCTTAATTAATAATTTAAACTAAAATTAAGATTTACGTTGAGTTTTCTTCACAGAAATGAATGAAATGCTGAGACACAGGACTACTGTGTATATATATTTCAAGTTTTGAAGTGTGTGTGTGTGTGTGTGTGTGTGTGTGTGTGTGTGTGTGTGTGTGTGTGTGTGTGTGTGTGCGTGTGTAGTATTTCAGCCCCTATGTGTCAGCAGACATGACTAAGATGGCTCAGGCCTTCAACACCACAGTAGCAGCTCTGGAAGATGAGCTCACCCAGCTCATACTGGAAGGGCTCATCAATGCACGGATCGACTCCCATAGCAAGGTGAGACACACACGCGCAGGGAAATGATGCAGTTTCCCCACATGAACCATTACAAACCAGAACTCTGACATGTTGACAGATCCTGTATGCGAGAGATGTGGACCAGAGGAGCACCACGTTTGAGAAGTCGCTCCACATGGGCAAAGAGTTTCAGAGGCGAGCCAAGGCCATGATCCTCCGAGCTGCTGTGCTGCGCAACCAGATCCACGTCAAGGTAGAAAAAAATGTCTTTACTTTGCGTCACAGCAGCAGTTAAGTATGAAACCATTAGAAAGCCAAAGTACTGAAGCAACTGTCATGGTTAGTAGGATAAGTATTGTTGTCTATAATATGTATTATATCATGGTCTAGGTGAATACTTGATTCTGATTATATTTACTGTTTGTTACTGACTTTGAATCTTGCTAGCATAGCATTAACTCTCTGTTATGTGAGCCATAGCGCTATGAGCGGATGGAACTAGAAACATCTGTTGCCAAGTCGACTGAGTCTCATTCCCAGGGCGATGAATGCAGACGCTTTCTCTCTATCCTTTCAGTCCTGACAGTAGAACTAGTGCTCCTAGTGGTATTTGCAAGAATTCACCGGGCCTGAGTAAAAACAGTCAGACCCCAAAAATATTGAAACACTTTGGGTTGGAGGCTTGAAGATAGTTGATTGTTGAGTCTCATTCCCAGAGTCACTAAGTGCCTGTATTTGATGACCTGGGAATGAGACTCAACAATCAACTATCCTTCTTCTTATAATCCAGAAAAAATGCTTGTGGTAATATATTGGTGTCACTGCAAGGTTTCTCCAGCAGAGTGTGCTGTGGTTTACAATACTGGGGCAAACAGGACAGAGTGAGAGAGAAGCAATTCAATTATTTAAACCTGAAACCTCTAAAATCTGACTATATATATTAATATGTATTGACAGCAAACACATATAACAGTGCCTCAATCACTCATGTTGTGTGCCCTCCTCAGTCTCCCCCCCGAGAGGGCAGCCAGGGTGAACTGACACCGGCCAACAGCCAGACCAGGATGAGCACAAACATGTGAAGAAAGTCTGCACGCTAACTCTGCTGACAGCAGCCGCAGACTAGGAGGAGAAGCACCCCCCCCCAATCGTTCATCAACACCAACCCCCAACCACCCCACCTTCAGTTTCTCTGCTGAACACAGAAACGACACACACTATAAAGACTTTAATGTTCCCAAATCATCTCTGTTGCCCCCATTGTATGACACGGGGGGGGAAATCCTTTGTTAGTTTGTGTGTCAGTGTGGAGATTTTTGGATGAGAAGAAAATGTGCTTTGATGGAAGCTCGGCACTTAAAGCTGTACATTACTGGTAGGAGATGCACTTTTCTCTGCTTACACGATGGAGGCCTCATTAACCGAAAGAAGGTTAAGAAATAAAAATACCTACCACAACACAAACTCACTGCTTGTTTTTATGCATTAGCTCTGTTGTCAGTGGAATATTCAACCAACAGCTAGAGCGCCAGCGTGTCCACTGTGTATGTATGTACATGTGCTGAAGTTTAAAGTTTAAGCCTGGTTTAAACCTGTGTTGTGTAATAAAATCACATGGTCTGTTGAACCCCACTGCTGTGTCCTCCAAGCTCCACATCTGCTACTGTGGTTGTAGAAATCACCTCCGTGTCACAGTGTGTCTGAGATTTAACTTGAACCTGATGCAGACCTGGTTTAACAGAGATTGTAAGACACACACATATATACATATTAAAATCCTCAAACTCATCTCCTCCTTCTACCTCATTAAAACCTCCAGAATCTCTGAAAATGCAAAAGTTGTTGATTTCTGAAGTTTTCCTGCTGGACACAAGATGTCTCCTCCTTCACTGTAAAGTCCATTCTCAGTGGATGTGCACTGGTGGCTTCAAGGTTTCTACATCACACTGTACAAGTTCCATACTGGACCAGGACTGACTTCCAAACTATTTGTGATGTCACAAGTCATGCTGGTAGGCCCCGCCCCTTAGAATCAGCTTTTCATTGAGCACAGAGAAACTTTCCACTTTCAGCAGATGAATGTGAAAACATCCTTCTAGAGTCAAACTGCACAGACAGCATTCACACAGCACACTGTAGGGACAAGTAGAAACACTGATTGTTGCCCTTCCAACAAAGGGGGGGTAGGATAGAGCTGCACCTCATCAATAGAAGCTGTTAGGACTATATTAAAATCATTTTTCATTTGATAAGTTTTACATTTGAATTCCTGTTTGAATTCCTGAGTACAACTCGTAACATATGAATATGGTCATAGGAGGCCCATACAAGTACATGGAAATGCTGATGGCAATTTAGTTTTTTTAAGTAGTTCAGCTTAATTTCAGTTAGTTTCCAGAGTGGGGTTGCTCGTTTCAGTTTAGTTTTTATTGTGAGGGAAAGAATCAGAATACAGTTCTACTGCCCCTCGATATGAAATAAATAGTTGAGATCAATAAATGCACAAGTGATCAAAATAACACAGGACATCATTAGTTGTGGAATATTTTAATTTGAATCTCTTTCCAGTGCATAATACTGTATACTCATTATAATGTCCTCTGTAAGATGTCCCTCCTGCAGTTTGTTTAGTTCCCAAAGGCACGTTTGCTTGGTAATCATTAATGTTAGACAATGTTAGAAATCACACATGGAACTACAAACTCTTTCTGCTCTTCTCTTTCTCTCTGTGGGGGTTTAAGTGCACAAACACAAAATAAAGTGAAGAAAAACACATCAAGTCAGGCCGTACAGTGACACTGACTTCACAAGTACAAAGTCAAACTTAAAGGTAGGATAGAGCGTTGGGGCATATGGGTATTGTAGTAATTTCTTTTCAAATCATAATGTTTTTTTTATCCAGGAAATCATTGGTCTCTCGTCACTAATGGAATAATGTTGAATGGTTGGTTAGGTTGTGGATGGGGTAGGGAGGAGTGGAGTGACTGGGTGGAATTGGGATGAAGTGTGTGGAGGAAGAAGCAGGCTTCAGTAGGCGTGGTCTGCCACAAACAGCGAGTCCTGAGCCGCTGCTCCCTTTTCTCCAGAGGACACGTACTTCCCCAGAGCTGCCTTGCTGTTATTCTGTGGAGAGACACAAAGCAAAGGAGGATTTATTAGAGCATGCCTTTTTATTTTTTACTTGGTGCCATTTTCATGACTTTGCTTTACTGATTATAATATTTTTTGGTTTGAGCAGTATTACAGTGACCAATTAAACCAATGTTTCTCAAATGGGGGTACCCCTAGGAGTACTTTGGAGTACTGCAAGGGGCTAAAAAATATTGTATATATATATATATATATATATATATATATTCCATATATATAATTGTTCCATAAACCACATTTTATATTCAATATTTCTATTTTCAATAATAATAACAATAATCATAATAAAAAAACTGCAGTTGCCTCCCTGACACAGAGAATGACAAGATCCTCAGTGAGGCACTAGCACATGTTTCTCACTACACTGTTAGTACAACTTATCAAGAGGTTGCAGTTCAATGCAACTTCAATATCATCTTAGTTATTCCACAATGACAACAATTGGTTTGCTATACATGTACTGATGGATTATAAACATTTGAAATGAAGGATTCAAGTGTTTTTCTTTATAAATAAAACACTGATGGTGTATTGTACCTCTTTATATAGGCTTTTTATTCTACCAGAAATGTTTTTTCTACGAAAAAGCAGGTATATTATTGAAAAGGTTTGAGAACCACTGAATTAAACTACAGTATCTTAAACTATTCATACTTTTTCCTATTCTAACTTAATTCCAACATTCCTTTAGCAGTCTGTTTTTATGAGGTTATGAGAGCAGGCATGGGCCTGCTGGAGTGCTCGCACTGATGCAGATTTTTGTCCACATGAGAACCCTTATTTCTTATTGCGTAGCACCACCTCTGGTGAGCATGGCTGTGCTCACCACTGAGGTCACAGATGTATTATTTTTTTTCAAAGGGGTATAAAGTTGCAAAATAACTGGCTAAAAATAACTTTACTTTAATGCCCCTAACCCTGCTAGTACGTTCAGTTATTTGACCTCAATATTTCTAAAGACCTGTGTACAGCAATACTGGTCAGGGACTCCTAAAAGCGTGTGTAACTGTTTCTCTGTGTAATCACAAAACTAAACGCTAAGAAAACTGAAAATGTCCTTGTTAAAAAGGATAAAAGTGCGTAAAAGTATTACGTTTAGGGTTATGTTGAGTTTATGATGGGGTTATGCTCAGTTAGGGTACTGACACCTTTTCTTTGTCCAATTCAGGCACTGGCTTACAGATTCATATTTTACTCTCATAATATGTTGTAATTATGAAATATGACTCACTGTAATGAATTTAACTCTCCGACAGTAAAAAAAGTCTTTCATCAAGTCTCCTGAGCAGCTCACAGCTTACGAACAACTTCTATCTTAAAATTATAATGCGATGCAGTTACAATATCCATCACATACCTGTATAAATGAAAGGTGTATATAGTCTATATAGATACAATTTTCTATTTTATTCTTATTCAATGTGTATATTTGATGTATTTTCCAGGTTTGGGATCAATCAATCTTATCTGATCTTATAAACCCCATATGAAGAATGCTACAAGTGGCATAAACTACAACATACCATTACATGTTAAAGCATTAATAATAATAATTGTTCAATATAACATAAAATGTAATTGGATGTAACTGTGCTGTATAGAGCAGAGGTTGAGTCACAAAAACATATATATGCGATATATATGTTTTTTCCTGCCTGGAATAGAGCTGTAAATACTTTCAGGAACCATTGTCAGGACTCCAATGGACCGCTAAATGGTCATTATAGCCTAGCCATTAGCCATAGTCATTATATAGCTCCTTTCTAGTCTTTGGACCATTCAAAGCATTACACTAGATATCACACACTAATGGCCAAACATCAGGAGCAACTTGGGGAGTCTTGCTCAAGCAGCAGAATGAACTGGGGATCGAACCATCAACGTTCTGATCAGTGTACGACCCGCTCTACACAACCTCCTCCTCCCTCCTTACCAGGGCTCTCTTGATGTACTCGTCCTGGCAGGCCTTGCTGTTTTCCTTCTTGCCTCCCCAGGCTTTCAGCGCTGAGGCCTGCAGGGCCCGGCCGAAGGAGAAGGTGAGGGCCCAGGGCCGGTGCAGGGGACACTGGTTGATGGCATTCAGGTTGACGGTGGCCTCCTCCTCACTCTGACCGCCTGACAGGAAGGTCACGCCTGGGGGGAAGAAGAATGCACAGGAGGGTCAGCTGGGAATGAGAGAGAGACGGAGAGATGTAACAACAGTATGTCAGCCTCACCTGGCACAGCGGGGGGCACAGTGCGGCGCAGGGCGGTGACAGTTGCCATGGCGATCTCCTGAGGGCTGTACTTTTTGGGGCAGGAGTGTCCGGCGGTCACCATGTTGGGTTTGAGCAGCGTGCCCTCCAGGTAGACGTGGTGGACAGACAGCGCCTTGTAGACTGCTGCCAGCACCTGACGGACAGAGACACTGATGTCCATTCCCTTGGTTCCAATAAACAACTGAAGGAAGAAGTTTTCTTTCTCCCGCCCGTTAAATTAAGTTCAGTCCTGTTCCCCACAAGAGGGATTGTGATGGTCCTCTGACAGGTCAAATTTTAACTTAACAAAACTACTTTGTACTGTGTAATCTGTAACTTTTATAAAAATAACTATAAATTATAATATAATAAATAAGCTTTCATTACATATATCCTGACAGTAGTACATGAGACAGCGTCTCTCTATCTTTCTCGGCTCTGATTGGTTGTTTTCGTTCCCGGTGGATTCTTGCAAATACCATTAGGAGCACTAAGAGGAGCCAGAGGAACCTGATTTTTTCAGTTTCAGCAAATATCACAAAAAATAACTGATATAAAAATGACCTAGTGCAGCTTTAATCGAAAGCATGCTGGGAAACGAGCACCAGTAAATTCAAAGAAGTAGCAGACAGGACTGCATACAAATATGCACCACACGTGTTACATGACTGATGCCAGATGCTGAGACTGTTCCAATTTCAGGGTGATGATGACATTTCTGTGCATTAGTGAGAGTGGCATCCTACCCATCATATTGAGGTTGATATCATTCATCACTCACCTTCTCAGTCACATACTGGCAGCGCTGCAGGTCGTGGTCGCCATCTGGGAGAATCTCAGGCTCCACAATGGGCACGATGCCATGCTGGAGGAGGGGGGACATAGCAGCCAGCGTCATGACAACAGACAATAGCACTTCCTCTCTGGGGGTTGTGCTAGCCTACCAACTGTTACACAGTTAGTTAGAAGAGAACCTGATGGGCAAACCGTGTTGTGTAACGGCTGTTTGTGTTACATCACTGCAGCGAGAAAGCTGTGTGTGTGTGTGTGTGTGTGTGTGTGTGTGTGTGTGTGTGTGTGTGTGTGTCTTACCATCTGGCAGATGCTGGCGTAGCGGGCCAGCACATTGGCATTCTCGATGATGGCCAGCTCGGACGGGGTGGTAGGGGTGATCTTTAACACACATCGCCACTTGGCAAAGTCGGCACCGTCCTTCTTGTACTGAGCACAGCGCTCGTAGAGGCCGTCCAGACCTGACGGAGACACACAGCACAGATGGTAGGTTGGAGTGATGGGAGAGGCTGAGAGCAAATGCTTAGTGGCCCCAACCACTAGATAGCACTAGATTTTATGCATATTGTGCTGTGTTCTGTATACTATGATCGTTTTTCTAAAATTTGATTTGAAAAAAAAACTCAAAACATATCTCCTTGTTTACAGCAACACAATAAATCGCCAGATTCTTACACAGTCAATCCACAGCCCTACTCATTCAGGTATTTTCTATGTATCTACATGTAGTTTAGCTCAATCACTACACATCAGCAGTTTCTTTCAAGGGAGAGAAATACACCTCCAACTCTGAGTGTTTATCAGTTTGTATTTATGTTGTTAGTACTTTCGATTGCGTACTGTTCATATGTGTTTTCTGCTACTGTGGTTCCAGGTGCATTCAAACAGGAGGTGAATGGGATTGAGGTCTCATTTCTTTGTTAACTGTTAAATTATAAATGTGTATACCATGGCCCCAGAGAATTCTCAATTCTGATTGGTTGGTAGGTGTGGATAAGTTACAGGACCTGTACAGTCGGTAAAGGCAGACACAGTGAGGCTTAGCTAATGAGCTTTGAGCTAGGGTTTTTTGTGTAACCAACACTACCAACAACAACAAATTAAAAACAGCTCTGCATTGAGCAGAGCCACGCAAATTAAAGTGTTTGATATTTGAGGGAACCGAATGTGATCAAAACCCCAAAGATAGATAAAGAGACAGCGATGGAGGGCAGAGGGAGTAAAGTCTGTAGTGTTTAAAGACCAGCCCACACTCTTTGGACAAGTTTTGTATTTCGTCACACATACATACTGAATGTATGTGTGCTGAGACAGGCTAATATCACAGGTCAATATACTGTCTAAATTGCATGCGTAGCCATATGAAGAATAGGTATCCATGACTTGAAAAACTGATATTAAAATCATTCCCCAAAGCCAAAAACAAAAATGTTAATTGGTGAGGTTAAACGTACTACAGGGACCAACCAGTCTCAATTCAATACTTATGTCTCTATATGACCCACATAAACAACCAAGGTCATCAGCTATTTTCTATATAGTTATTCTTAATTCATTGCAATTCTGTTTGCCTTTATTTTAT